TCCCGGCTGCCTCTCTCGAGTCCTATCCGCTGCCAGACAAATTTTCGTTCAACTGGAGGAAGAGGGGATTCCCTTTTTTTTTTTTTTTTTTTTTTTAAGTTAAGTTAGTTTTGTTCTGAGAGCTGCTTCTCGCACTTCTACCAGGCTTCGAGACTGAGTCAAAACTGGGGTCACGCCCAAAGGAAGGGGTGTGGCCGAAGTTTTTACCCAGTCTGCCAGGCAGGAAGGCCGTCATAGAACACATCCATTTGGACTCTACAGTCATCCTGCTGGAGAAGGACAAGGGGGGACATGATAGCAGTATTCCAATATCTCAGGGGCTGCCATAAAGAAGAGGGAATTAAGCTATTTTCCAAAGCACCTGAAGGCAGGACAAGAAGCAACGGGTGGAAACTAATCAAGGAGAGAAGCAACCTAGAACTAAGCTGGCAGGAATAGCCAACACTCCAGAAGACATTCTTAAGATACAGAAGGATCTGGACAGACTCGAACACTGGGCACTAACTAACAAAATGAAATTCAATGGTGAAAAAAGCAAGGTTCTACATTTAGGCAAGAAAAACCAAATGCACAAGTACAGCATAGGTGGCACCATGCTCAATAGTAGTAACTGTGAGAGGGACCTCGGAGTCCTAGTAGACAATCACTTAAATATGAGCCAGCAGTGTGCTGCAGCTGCCAAAAAAAGCCAATACACTGCTAGGCTGCATTAACAGAGAGATAGAGTTAAGATCACGTGAAGTATTAATACCACTCTTCAATGCCTTGGTAAGGCCACACTTGGAATACTGCATCCAGTTTTGGTCACCACGATGTAAAAAAGATGTTGAGACTCTAGAAAGAGTACAGAGAAGAGCAACAAAGATGATTAGGGGACTGGAGGCTAAAACATATAAGGAACGGTTGCTAGAATTGGGTATGTCTAGTTTAACGAAGAGAAGGACAAGTGGGGACATGATAGCAGTATTCCAATATCTCAGGGGCTGCCATAAAGAAGAGGGAATTAAGCTATTTTCCAAAGCACCTGAAGGCAGGACAAGAAGCAACAGGTGGAAACTAATCAAGGAGAGAAGCAACCTAGAACTAGGAGAAACTTCCTGACAGTGAGAACAATTAATCAGTGGAACAGCTTGCCTCCAGAAGCAGTAAATGCTCCAACACTGGAAGTTTTTAAGAAGAGACTGGACAGCCATTTGTCCGAAATGGTGTAGGGTTTCCTGCCCGAGCAGGGGGTTGGACTAGATGACCTCCAAGGTCCCTTCCAACTTTACTACTATTATTATTATTACACACACGGGGAAGAAGACTAGCAGACCAAGGGCAGAAAGAGGGAGGGAGAGAGGGAGGGAGGGAGGGAGGGAGGGAGGGAGAGAAAGAGAGAGATCCTTTTGACATCTAAAATGAAGATAAGACTGCATATATCCATATATATATGGATATATGCAGTCTTATCTTTATTTTAGATATTCAAAGGGTTTTGTGGCTCCCTGTGTTTTGTTTTCAGTGGGAAACGGGTCCAAGTGGCTCTTTGAGTATTTTGGGTTGCCTACCCCTGTTTTAGGCGAACTGCAGCTGTGGAAAAAAAACTCCTTGTAAGGTTCAATTCTATTTCAATGCCTCAAAGCCTAGAATGGGTTTTAACACAACTAAGAATAAAAAAAGATTTTACATAGATCATAGAAACAGGGAGGCTGGGCCATACCCAATTTGATACTATATTAGCAAGAAGTACAGAAATATATTCAAACTAAAACTATTTTAGAGCTAAATAATTGTATAAATCAATGACAGGTTCATCAAAAATGCTTTTCTATAATAACTAAGATGGAAATTGTTTTCACTAAATGATATGCTGAAAGAATAACATATAGCTTTCATAAAGGATATTTTATTTATTTATTTATTTATGAGACTTATATATCACTTTAAGTGCAAGCACTCTCTAAGCGGTGTACACCAGTAAGCACTGTATATATATATATATTTACATTGCCCCCAACAATCTGGGTCCTCATTTTACCTACCCCGGAAGGATGGAAGGCTGAGTCAACCTTGAGCCGGTGAGATTTGAACCACTGACCTGCTGAACACAGTCAGTTAAAGTGGCCTGCAGTACTGCACTCTAACTGCTGCGCCACCTCGGCTCTATCTATATTTCTCCTTTAATTCCTTCAGTAAAGAATTTATACATGAGATTAATCACTATGATCTAGCTAAAACGAAACTTTTGACACAATATATCTTTGCAGACTAAAAGATTTTTATAGCAACAGGGAACTTCCCAATAAAGAAGTTTATTGATGTTAAATTACCATGGTTATTCTATTGTTAACTCAAAGGTTTTTGGCAACTGGAATTCTAGAGATTTAGCAATTTAACCTAACAACAGTTTTGAGAATTTGGTATAGAAAATCCTCAACATATGACAATTGGGCCAAAATATCTGCTGTTAAGCAACAACATTGTTAAGTAAGTTTTGCCACATTTTATAACCTTCCTAGCTTGTGTTGTTCAGTAAATCACAGCAGTTAGTAATACACTTGTTAAGTGATCTGGCTTCCTCATTGACTTTCCTTGTCAGAAGGTCAAAAAAGGTAATCACATTATCATGGGATACTGCAACCATCATAAATACATGCCAGTTGCCAAGCATCTGAATTTTGATAAGGTGACCATGGGGATGGGGATGCTGCAACAATTGTGTGAAAAATGGTCATAAGTCACTTTTTCAGTGCCATTGTAACTTCAAATGGTCACTAACCAAATGGTTGTGAGTCGAGGACTATCTGTATTTTGTCTAGAGCAATCAAAAAGAACAATCTCAAAAACATATAGATTATAACTGCCATTAGAAATAAGAGATCCACCCATGGTTTAAAAGAAATTTAGGACAGAGATCTTGATACATCCATACAGAAGACAAATGGGCAGGAATTATGGAAATCAAGTGGATGCACTTCAGGTTCATTGCAAGGCACAGCAAGGTTAGTGCTGTAAGAGATGACCAGGCTGAGCTCAAGGGAGGAGTCAAGCATGTCCATCAGTCTCAAGTCCCTTTGTGTCAAGGCGAACTTGAATTCCTTTGACTCTTATCTATCACCAATTTGCTTTGACTGTTAGTAATTCAGGTTGTTGTAGAAAGTGTTTCCCTTGTATTCATTTGAACTGCTGTGGCTCCTGATTTCTTTTGCCGCATTATATATAAGCACATACGGTATATAATAATCAGCTTATTCTTCCAAATGTTGGGAGAGGTTGCCAAAAAAGGAAGGGAGACTCTTTTATTTATGGTGGGCATTTCTGGCATAATTTTTTTTTTTTGAAAGAATTATCACAAGAATTCAATGTTCCTGAGAGTTAGATGTATACCATTTAGAGAAGTTATGGCAGATTCCAAGAAACCTCTTTACTATCTAGTTCTGAAGTTACAGCTACTGCAGTGGTCTCAATGTCATTTGTCCTTATAACTGACCAAAAGACTCTTCAGAGATCCCTGGCTATCTCTCCCCCCCCCCCAACTTTCTCCACCAGATCCCTACAGGCCTTCCCATTCCACCAAGTCCCACACCCTCCTTTTCACTTAAATTTCAAAGATCTGTGGAGCTTGGCTTAGGGATTCAGAACAGCTCATGTTGTTGTACGGCCATGTAGAATAATTCCAAAAACTGCTACCTTTTTCCAAGTGGCTGCATTGAATTGTAGTCATTTGGAAAATGGCAGCCACTTCCAGAATCAAGCTGCATGGCTTACAACGAAGCAATCTGTTCTGCTTCCTGAAGGAGAACTGTGCAGTGCTGCAGAGATCTTTAAAAGGTAAATGGGTTACAGGGCATGGGGAAGAGGCCCAAGAGCTGTGGAGACCTGGCAGAGGTGGTGGGAGAAAGGCCTGCAGGGATCTTGGGGGGAATGGGGGGAAACAGGCCCAATGGCTATGGGGACTCCGAAGGGTGGGAATGGAGCACAAGGTGTCTCAGGGAATAGGGGAAGCTTTGGTAAGCCTGGGCCATGTTGGCCTGCACTAAGCCTCTTAGGGCCTCCCTCCTCTGACCGCATGGTTGTTTAATACATCAGGACAGCAAGAGGTAGATAACCATTACGGTTATAAGTAGAATCTACCTGTATTTATAGGACCAAATCTGATATTAAAAATAAGGAACTTATTATCTACAATTTTACCTAAAATGTAGCTAAAATAAATTGCCCAACATTAGAAATCTCCAACTACTGTAATAATTGAGATATGCCTTACAAAACTTCTTCAATTGCTACATTAGAAAAAAATCAGTTAAAATAATGAAGCAGGAAGGAAAATTCTATCAAATTTGGATGAATTTTATGCTTATAGATGGATTTTATAGTTTATCTCAATAGCAATAAACTACAATGCGATATTTCATACATATGACAAATTTGTATGTAGAGTTCCTGTCTCTACCAATTTTAGTTTGCATTTTATATCTTTTTTCTTTATTAATCTTGGACATTTGGATATTCAATTATTTGATATTTGTTAATTGTAGTCCAATAAACCGATTTAAAAAATAATTATGACTATCTTTTTTCTTTACATTACAGGCTCAAATATCTGCAGATTCATAGTAAATCATACACCCCTCTTATGTGCAAATTCATTTTTGGCAATATTTTTTTGAAGTTATGAGATTATACAATTGAAATGAATCAGAATATTTTAAAGAAAAATTGCCTGATAATGACACAGTGCCAATTCTTTTAGACATCTACATAAAGAAATATTATGCTACTAATAAACCCTGAACACAAAGTGCTCACTATAATATATTCCAAAGGAACAGCAACAATATAACTTCAGTAGCACACTAAAGACTGTTACCTAACAAAAGATTCAACCCAAGAATCCAGATACTTTTTTAATATATATTGAAATAAACTATAAAACTATTTTCTTCAGTTAATCAAAGTTGCATTAAGTGTTGGCACAAAATGAATTTTTGATAACTATTTCAAATGAGACTTCTCACCATTGGAAAAAGGCCTAACGAATGGTAACGGCGTGATATAGCATTTGGCATTGTCTTATTCCTAAGATTCTTCAGTTCTTCTTGTGCCTCATGAAGCATTTCCATACATTCTGCATATTTATCTTCCAGCTCTCGTAACTGTAATGAAGAAAAAATTACAATAACTAAAAATGTTTTTCTTCATTGTAGCCTTTATTAAAATGAAGAAAAAATACTTTTTATAAAAGGAAAATATAATCTAAACAGATGAATTATACAACTTGTTGTAGGCTTGTATTTGTTTAATATGTATCTGGGATGATTGAGTATTAAGACTGTTGCTGAAATGATACAAACACTATTATCTCTTCCTCTGGATTTTAGATTGGGAGAAAGAAAACCCTGTGTTATTGTGCTTTGAATTACAGTATTAATATCTAACAAACCTAACCCCTATGAGAATTGAAAGTAATGAAAAGTAATCCCATCATCTCTGTAATGTTAATTTAAATATGGGTATTTAATTAAATAAAACAGGGACATAATATATGAGTTCTGTTATTTGTATTTATTTCTCCATATATTCACTACACATTACTGCCCGAAAGGGAAAAGCCTCTTAAATCTGTCAACTGTCTGACTAGTGAACTCAAAATCAAGGAATCTTCAAGGCTTTGAAGAGCCATAAAAGATAAGCTTTATTCAATACACATCTTGGAATTGAAGAAGCAAAACCAGTTCTGGTTTTCCTCTGCGAAAATCTGCCTAGTTAACAATAGTTTCCGTAATACCCACACGTTGCCCAATCATATATCTTTTGTCTCTTATGAGAACATGTTTTGTTGGCTGTCACAATGTTATGAAGAATTTTTTCACTTTTCTTCTCATAAGCATGGCAACAGTGCTGACAAATTTTAGTTCTTGATGCTTTTATCTCTACTGTCAGCATGCAAGAACTCTTCTTGCACAAACCATCTGATACTGAAGAACATCAGTAATATGATTCACATTTTCTTGTGAGATGCCAAGTTTGACAATAATTTCTCTTTAAGTGCTTTGCTGATTGTCTTTAATCAGTTCAACAAACTTCATCATGTGAAACTCACTGGTTACTTTCAAAGGTTGCCCATTTAATTCTTGATCAAACAAACCAGCTTTTTGTGGCTCACCATTTTTTTTTTTTTTTTTGGCCCAACAATGTATATTACTTACTTAATTAGTCACCACTACAAATAAACTGTATTCAGTGTTGATGTAGAAGATGATCAGGCTGAGCCCCAGGGAGGGGTCAAACATGTCATCAGTCTCTAGTCCCCACAGGAGATCTAAGTCCAGCCCACCTTGAATTTTGTTGACTCTTATCTGCCGCCAATTCACTTTCACCATTAGTAGTTCAGATTCTTGTAGAGAGCTTTAGCATACAATAAAATTATATATTCATTTGAACTGCCTGAACTCCTGATTTCCTGTGCTTGACAGTTGAATTTCAATTGGAGGTATTTCAGTCAGCCAATCACAGCATGTTGCTTAAAGTGCCCAAATAAGTATTCACTACAGGCTTCCCTTTCAAACAGAATAACAACACAATCTTTCTCACAGCTATTTATCACCAACTGAAGAACAGATTCTAAAAAGCACATCAAAACATTTAGCACATCAGTATTTTAATCTACTGGTAGTTTATAATTACTTGTAATTCAACTGTCATTATTGATGAATGTAATAATCCCTATTTAGACTTGATATCAAAGGATTTTGATAGCTGAAATACATACACATAGAGATACATACACAAATACTATATATAGCACGCATGCATGCATGCATGCATGCATACATACATACATACATATATGCTTTTACATTACAACACTTATTCTTATCTGTAGAGAATGGATATAAGTTCTACACAGTAGACAAAACATCTGTCATAAAGGCTCTCCATTTTTATTGCCTTCTGAATTTATAAGGCTTTGCCAATAAGATTTGATTCTTACATACTGTATTCAGAAACATCAATAATTTATACAACACATGGTTTAGAAATCTAATATCAGACAAGAGCCATCTCCATTTTAATGGTAACACAAATTTAGACATGCTGACTATTTAAATAAATCTCCCTTCTTCAGTATAGCTTATGTTTCCATTCATACATAAAATTATATTTAATTATTTGATGTTTGAATACATTCATCTTATAAACAACAGCCCTGTTAAACTAAAATAATTTTCAGTTGATATACCCACACAGAAACATACATGTGAAAAAAATCCAATGTTTATGCCAATTAAATTTCATTTTTTCAAAGATTTATGATTTAATGTAGCAAAATCTTGTATTTGGACTGAGAAGGATATTACATTCAAAAACAACTCCATAGAATACATATCCTTCATTTTGTTTTTTAGTAGTTTACATTTGTAAATTCTCTTTTCTACATAAAGACTGGAATAGATTTTTTGTATATTGTTACAAGAACACAATAAATGAAAGAAGGATCCTTATTCCGCCATCCTCTTCAACACATAATTGTTTTTCATAATTATTTGTACAGAAACCAAATTCTTAGTGCTACTGCACTAATAAGTAGTGCATTAGCTAAACAATGAGAGAAAAGTAGATAGGTAGTATATATATATATATATATAAAACAAATCAATTAATTAAAGTAGTTGGTTCCCAAGAAAATTATTCATTACTTGAAAACTGATATTCATTCCAAAAATCACTGTCCCTTTATATTGACAAAATGAACATTTGGCAAGAAATTAGTGGTATGGTCTTATTTTCCCCTTTCTACATACATACAAAACATACAAAATGATTATTTAGCTAGCTGGGACAAATTGTGTATTCCTCCATACTGAGTGAGGTTTAAAGGCTGCATCATTGTTATGATGCCCAGTTGTTATTGTTTATATTCTTTTTTTTTTTTTAAATCAAACATGGTAAAAGTTCCCAGATGTTTATAACATGCTGAAGGAATGTGGATTGCCATATCCTTTTCTGTTAACTATCTTAATATTTATTTAATAAAATCTTTTTACACTGGTTCGAGTCTACTGCCTTTGAATCCTAAAGATCTAATTGGGTCTCAACTGGCAGCTGTAAAACTCGCACACCCTGCCAAATAAAATAATCTTTCTGATATATCAAAAGTCAGGGAGAGAAAGAAAAAAATAGAAAGAAAGAGATAAGGGCAAAACAAATATGGCATGGCATGCTCACAATAAAGGTTTTCAATCCTGTGTGGAATTAAGAAAATCTGAATGTAAAAAACATATATTACTTTATTCTGATATGAAAATAAAAGTCCTGTTTTTAAATCCTGATTATTACTCACTTCAGCTGTAAGTTGCCTTTGGGCATCTTTAGCTGCTCCCAAATGTTGGACAAGTTCTTCATTTTCCACTGTACACTGAAAAAGGATCAGCAGCAAAAGCATTACAACAAGGTCATCATTCCATGATTTTTCTATTTCAAGATTTAAAGGACTTTATTCAAAAGTAAGGAATAGAAAAAAATACTGCATCATATTGTGGCTAAATGTCACCAACTTACAGCTTTTGCCTTTTTCTGCAAATCCACTATCTGAGACAAAAGATGGGTGATTTCTTCCTGTTGTCGGGCAGCATCTTCAGTCTTCTTAGCTAACTCTTCCGAAATACTGGCAATCTGAAGATTTGCATCTCCTTAAAGAAATAACAATATCACTTTTTAACCAAATGGAACTGGTCATGGGTAAAAAATACTGATAAAATAAACATTACTGAAACTTAGCCATATAAAGAAACTAATAGACAATTACTATTAGTTGGGAAAAAAGAATCAGAAAGTTTTGTGCTTCCTGAAACAGTCCAATCAATTTTTGTGTTGGAAATGAAATTACTTTCCACTTTGTGTAGCCTGCTTAAATTCTAGTCCTAGTTTCTCAGTCAGCCTGTTCATTTGCCTTCAAATGATTGTGGGTGCTGCAATGAATGCATTTTCTGAATTCCTAAAATAGTTATGTTCAAATACAAGGCTGCTATTTATTAGGATCTTTTCCTACAATAGTATAATTGGATGGGATGTTTTTCCATCATTCTTTCACAAAGACAGTAAAATAAAAAAATTGAGCAGAATTTTACTTTTTATTATATTCTAAATAAAATTCCACTGATTTAAAAATAAAGTAAGAATTAACTTACAGGGGTCCTAATCCCAGACTACTTCAAATATACTCAGAATACAAAAATAATATAAAAAAAGGTCTGGTTATTTATGGTCTATCAAGAAAATAAGATACAGCAATTTGGAAAATATTTTACACAATCCCTAATTTTATAGTTAAATTAAAATATGAAATTTTGTATTCAGCAGAAAAAAAGATACATGAGTAACTTTCTCTGAATACAGACATAATTTGTTTGGAACAACTATTCCATTAGAAGCAGATTCTGTGTACTTAACTATATTTTGAAATATTTTAATCAGGGACACTTTATGGAACCATTATTTAATAAACTAGAAATGTTATTTCACTGGACCAAACTAGTTTTTGCCCACTATAAAACTATTATAAATTAGTCTTTGCATAACTCCAAAAAAGATGAACTGCATATCTTTAAAAAGTAAGTTTATACCATATTAATATTTTGATTAAATTATATTGAGAAAAAGATGGATCATTTGAACAAAGAAGAAAAGAAATCTACATCTACTACATTGTATACCAATGATTTTTAAATCACACATAGTTCCAATCACTTAACTGCAGAAGTTTAAATTTAAAGCAAACATGGTATTATGAAGATACAGTTTGATTTTAAGTATTACGAAATAGTTTTTGTTTCACTTAATAAAGTAACATTAGATTCCAAGAATTTCCATGTCATAACCAGAACAAAATATTTTAATTATATTCACTAGATTTGTACTAATTATTGATAAAATAATACCTGATAAAATCCACAGATGCACTCACTTAATTAATTAATTAATTAATTAATTAATTTATGAGACTTATATACCGCTTTAAGTGCAAGGCCTCTCTAAGCGGTGTACACCAGTAAGCAATGTATATATATATATATATTTATTTACATTGCCCCCAACAATCTGGGTCCTCATTTTACCTACCCCGGAAGGATGGAAGGCTGAGTCAACCTTGAGCCGGTGAGATTTGAACCACTGACCTGCTGAACACAGTCAGCTAAAGTGGCCTGCAGTACTGCACTCTAACTGCTGCGCCACCTCGGCTCTTAATTATGCCCTTTAAACAATTGTGAACATGAACTATTATAAATCAAGAATGAGTCAAATCTATAAGAAAAATACATTTTCAAGTTAACACTGCAAATAGTTTGGATGCTCCTGGAATTTTCACCGCCATTTAACTTGCATGAGGCCATTAGATTAATTATTTTAAAATTTATTTGAATTAGAATGCACTTAATTTTTTCTTTCCAACAAAGCTTAAGGTTGTGGAGCTTAAAAGATAAGTAAGCAAAGTATGAATCATGTTTAAAATACAAATCTGGAAGTACTAAATAATTGAATATCTATCCATCCATCCATCTTATCTATTTATCTATCTACATCTATCTGTCCATCTGTCCATCCATTTCCCCTTCCCTCCCCCACAGCCAGAAGATAAATTGTAGGCAATATACACTAGATTAATCACATTGCTTTTTTAAGATACATAACTAAATGGCATAGAATCCACCACCTCGGGCAAAACCCCATTATCTGAAAGTCTATCCACTCTGCCAGAAAGCAAAGAAAAAAACATACTGAGCTCCTTTACACAATCATTTACAAGTTGCTGTTCTTTCTCTTCATAAGTAATGGTTTCAGTCTTCAGCTGGCAGGCCTGTTTACAATATCAAGAAATGAAAAACTCAATTAACATCTTGTTAGTGTTGCACTGCTATTTGATTTTTTAAAAATAAGTTTTTCGTAACAGTACACAATATTCATGGACAGCCAAAACTTTCATCCTTCCTCTTTTCCTCTGCAAATATTGTGAATTAATAGCAAACTGTCACTAATGTTGAAAAGAGAAATATATAAAAATAATTTCAAGACATCGGGGATAATTGAAATATAAAAATGTAATCTATTTGATGAAGAAACTTTAATGGAGATTAAAGTGATCTCAAAAATTCTTAAAGGGAAAAATATGCTCACTAACAAACCTGAAAAAAATGCCAACATGTTCAAGAATCATTTAAATGGTTATAGTTTAGTTATACTGGATGTAAATTATAATAAACCTCAAAAGACAATTTAATTCTATAAAGTAAATTACACAATTTTGTAAAGTGATCATCACATGATCATTCTAGATTGACCAAATCATTTTAAAGCTTACCATAGGAACAAAACAATACATTTCTTACGATATAGCAATAAAATAGTAATGATAATTAAATGTACTGCTCAATATCAGTCAATGCAATGATACAGGTATCCTTGACTTATGATCATTTGTTCAGTGACTGTTTGAAATTACTACTAATGTGCTGAATGAAGTGACTTACAATTTGTGCCTAAAGTTACAGCCACTGGAGGGCCCATGCAGTCTCATAATGAAAATTCACGTGCTTGGAAGTCTGCCTGCACTCAAGACTGCAGAGGCACTTCAATTCCCCCACCCGCCTGTCTTTCCTGCCATTTCAGCCACCCATCCAGACCAACCAACAGTGTGCACAAAGCTGCAGGAGCCCTGGAGGTCAGAGTCTGTTCCCCATCTCATCATGCCCAGGAGGTCCAAACCTGCTTCTCATCCGAATATGCCCAGGGTTACAGGGCCCATCTGCAAGCACAAATTGCCCCACTTACAATGTTTGCAATGTTTCTGACTATTGCAAGATATGGGCTTCCTATTAAGATAGCCTTTAACCATTTCGCAAGTGATCTTATTCTTGTGATCATTCAGAAGGTTCTTTTTATATTCTTTCTAGCCTTCCAAATGATCACAAGAATAGCATCTGTTTTTCAGAAGAAGGCTTCAAAAGCACCATGAGAGCAGGCATCATTCTCACCGTTATTCAGAAGGCTCCTTCTCCAATTCACACAATTTGGAGGAGGAGCCTTCCAAATAATCAAAAGAATAGTGTTCACTTGCATAATGGCACATGACAATCTAAGTCAGAAGATCATGCCTCACAATATGCAAGGTATGCTGTCAGCAGCTGCAGAAAAACCACAAAGTGAGACAATTTGTGTAAAGATGCAAATGGGGCACTTGTATCTGGCCAAGGCCTCCCGGTTATGGTGGTATGGATAGTGAGCCTAGACCTCCTAGGCCATGGCAGGTTTCTGGCAACCAGTGGGTCCTGCACTAGATCTCCCAGGACCTCCCTCACTCCCTTGAGGCACCCCCAGATTTGTTACATTGGACTCTGACTCATAACAATCAGAAGTGTCAGGACTGTAAATGTTAAGCAAAGCGATCAGTGACATCTCATTTAACAACTGCTTTGGTCAATAACCAAAATTTTGGTTCCAATTGTGTCAAGGATTACCTGCATTGTGAAGAAAGGTAAATCTCAAAGCAGAGTTACCGTATATCCTAAATATTGTAGCTATCTTTCTACCATTTATTGTTCATAATTAAATGATGGAAGGGAGAGTTTTAGGGAATCTATTCCTTTAACTTGCGCACATGTGCATGCATGCACATGTATGTGTGAAATGAGCCTGAATCAATCCACTGCAGAATGAAAGCCTCTTCAGTAAATGTTATCAGTTATAATCTATCACATCAATGCAGTATAGGCTAATAGATTGATTATTTTTAATTTCCCAGTCTACAGTTTAGACAGAATGACTGGTCCAAAGTCTCCAAGCTATCTTATATGCTTAAGGGAAGACTAGAAACACAGATTTCATTGCTTTTACTTCAGCACTTTATACACTACCATTTATTTATTATTTATCACTGGTTCTTATTGATATATGCCTATATCTGTATTGATATATTTGTATCTGTATCTATGTTTATATTTATCAGGTAATGTGAGTTGGTAGAATGTAGACCAGCGGTTCTCAACCTGTGGGTCGCGACCCCTTTGGGGGTCGAATGACCCTTTCACAGGGGTTGCCTAAGACCATCGGAAAACACATATTTCCGATGGTCTTAGGAACCGAGACACCACTCCGCATCTGTCTCCACCTGGCCTCTCTCTTTTGCAGAGAGAGAGAGAGAGAGAGAGAGAGAGGCACTTTTGCTTCCCTTCTCTCTCTCTCAGGCGGACTTACCTCCTTTAGGGCTCCTGATTGGTCCTGCGCCCGGGTACCCACCCCCTGGGAGAAGCGTGGCCAGGGCCTCGTGGCCACCTGGGGAAGCCCGGGGATCACTTGGGCCCTCCCGCAAGCCGCAGCCCAAGGGAGATCAGCTCTGCGATCCCCTGCCAGCCCAACCATTGGACCCGCTGGCCGGGAAGGCGCGCCGGAGTCCAGCCTGCTGGGAAGGAAGAAGGAGATGCAGCAAAGGTAGCAGAGGAGAGCCACCTCCTGAGGCCCGGCACTGGCAGCGGCTTCCTTGCCCTCCTCTTCCTCCTCCCCTTCCTTGCCCTCCCGTTCTTCCTCCTGCTGCCCCTAAGGTGGCTTGCGTGGAAAGAAAGAGGGAGAGAAGAGAAAGGAAAAGAGAGAGAAGAGAGAGGAAAGAGAAAGAGATAAAGAAAAGAGAGAGAGAGGAAAGAGAGAAACAGGAAAAGAGAGAGGAAAGAGAAAGAGGGAGGAAAGAAAAAGAGAAAGAGGAAAGAGAGAGAAGAGAGAGAGGAAAGAGAAAGAGAAAAGAGGAAAGAAAAAGAGAGCAGAAAGAGAGAAAGAGAGAGAGGAAAGAGAGAAAGAGGAATGGCATTTCTCCAAACCAGGCCGGGGCAGCAGAGCGGCCTTCCTGCCCCCCTCCCTGGCCAGCTGGATGGGGGTTGGGGATCACCACAACATGAGGAACTGTATTAAAGGGTGCGGCATTAGGAAGGTTGAGAACCACTGATGTAGCCTATATAGAACAACACAGTCATTGGTCCTCTTTCTCTCTTTTATATTTGAACAAAGAATCAAATTAACTTTTATTAAAAGGTTCTCCTAAGATTACAACTTAGATAAATATTTTAGTGCAGGTGTGTCTAACCTGTGGTTTTATAGGACGCATGTGACCCTAGGCAGCTAATAATGCAGCCATACAAGATCATAAATTTTTAATATTATGTGTGTATTATATATTTTATATGTAGCCCAAGACAATTCCTTTTCACTCAGTGCAGCCCAGGCAAGTCAAAAGGTTGATCATCCATGTTTTAGACTATTCTCCTAGCTCTTAAAACAAGAAGATTCTTAGCAAATTATATTCTTTGTCTTCCCTGACAATAAATATCTATTCTTAATCTTATCATTCAGATAGCTAGAAGCAGGTTTCTTTTTCAGACTTATCCTTCTAATCATACTTTCCAAATCTCTTTCTCTTCAGTATCTTTTTCTTCCAGCATTTCAACTGTGAGCTTATGTTCTCTGTTATGCAGCACATATTTGATCCATTCTAACTCTGGAAAAATATCTCATAATTCTACTGTTAAATAATACACATCACCCTGTAGTCTGTTATTCAACAACACTTTGATTGCCCTAACTTTAACTGTTGCATCTGTAAATAGAAACAGAAGACAATATATACATAAGGGTGTTGACATATATTATTAAAGAATCAATTATGGGCTACAAGAATCATGATTTATGTCTTTTTGTCAAGCTGCTAATATATACAGGGAAAACCAAAGACAAATTTATAATTGCTAAGGAGCAATGAAACTTACCTCTGTTCTAAGGACAACATTCTCCTCTTCAAGATCCTTCAGCTTCTTTTGAAGAGAATCAAAATGAAAATAATTCTGGACAGATGAAGATGATTCATTCCTCTTCAATCTAGTAAAATATATATTTTAACGCATTTATGTATAGTCCCTATTTATAATTCCTGTAGCACAATAATCTTTCAATAATAATACTGCTTAAAATTCAGGAGTTTTATAGAATTTTGGTAGATTAACTAAATTTATATCATTTCCTTTTTCTACATACTTTTAATGTGGTAATGTAACTTATAAAATAGCAAAAAAATCAATTTCTGCTTACTACATAAAATTATAAAAAAGAACTCATAAAATCTTTAAATACAATATTCATATAAATAGGGCATATATAAGGAAATGAAAGAGATAGCACAAATATATATGAACAAATATTTCAAACTGTTTTGGGCAAAGAATCTTCTGAAGCATCCTGTACTAAATATAAAGTTGTTTCAAAAATTCTGAAAGTGTTTTGAGCTTTGTATGAAATTTCACACTTGAAACAGTTTTACACAGCCTAAATAACATTTCTGTTTCCTATCCTTGACTTACGGAGTTGAACAGATGGAATCTGGCTCACTCTCTTCAGCAGCGCTGGTATAAAACTGAAGCAGCTCATCTTTCATGGACAACTCATGACGCAGTTGAGAAACCTGAACAAATTAGTTTGTTGTAATAATTTGAGATTTGTACTGATGATATTCAAATGTAACGGAATTACTGTGCTCAGCCGCTATGCTACTTTTCAAATATGTAAATGTAATAAAGAGAAGCCTGAACAAATTAAAGCGAAAAATACCTATAAGTGATTACATTTAAGTAGAAACAGAAAACTGTTCCACATCAGGAAAAAAAGTTTAGATCAGGAATTCCAAGACCATACTTACAACTTTTCATTCAAAGCAGTCAATTCGTCACTGTGTTTTATCTATACAATTAAGTTACAATTGTAATGGAGCCTGCATCTGACTGATCCAATTTTACAAATTTTTGGTAGTTGTCATTAAGCAAATGTAACGGTGATAAATGCGTACCCATTGTTTACTATGTGTGCAGTTTTACTGAGTTGTGAAATTCCAGTTTTCAACAAAACTGTTTTAAAACCATTGTAAAATGTGGGACATTCAAATGTTCATAAATGCAGCCATGTTGCCAAGCACCTGAAATGTGGTCATGTGACTGCAGAGGGCAACTTTGCATCCAGGCCATAAGACCCCTTTCTCAAGTAGGTCATAACTCAGTGATCGGGTTATAAGGCAAGGACTACCTGTATAGTTGTAGCTATTTAGATTATAGTACACCAATTGAACTTTGCCATAGTTTGGTGCCAAATCACAATATAAGACTTCTTACTGCTACTGTACAATATCTATGCCCTAGCAGTTTTATTTTAATCATTTATTTATAAATTTTTATTGGCTGCCCATCTTACCTCAGAGTAACTCTAATCATAAAATCTATTCATCTTCTCAAATTAAATTAGGTAAACCAAGTACGATGCCTGCCCAATAACATTAATAGAATGGGCTTCAAAAATTTCTGGATAGAGTTCAAAATACCAAATCACCCCAAATCTTTAAAAATGTTTCTTTAATGTTTGCTTTAGGACAGTAACAGAAAATCTGTACCTATACTGTTACCATGCCTCAAGTCACAGCATCTCTCACTACAGACTATTTTACTCTAATAGTAACATCTGGAGGGCCACTGATCCGCCAACTTAGCTTTAGCAAAGGACAGGCACTCCTCAAGAGATCATTGTAATGACACCTGCCCATTATGGTTGTATGTGGCGGTAGCTGTTAAGTGAAATGGCCTCACCATCCACACCATCCACTGATCTCCCTGATTCAGCCATTAATGAACACACACATTATTAAGCAAAGCATAGGATGTTCAGAAGTGGGGGAGGCCCAGCACTGGTCATGCCCACCTGCCCTGGGTCTCCCCCACTTCCTCAAACATCCCATTCTCTACTTCCAACCCCTTGGGTTCCCAGAGGCCTTTTCCTTCACCCAACTGCTCCCTGCTGGACTTTCTCTCTCACACCAGATCCTTGCAAGCATTCCATCTCCCAATGGCTCCCGACTGGCCTTATGCCTAATTCCCACTCCATCCGGTGCCACAAACTGCTCACTTACCTTTGAGCAAAGCCTTTCATAGCACAGGAATTGGTTGCCTTGTCACTTAGTAGCATGGCACAATTCTGGAATTGGCCATGTGGCTGAAGGAATAAACACTCCTTTTAACAGCCTTAATGCATTCCACTTGTGGATGGTTCAAAATGCCGTCCATGTCCACAAGGCTACCGCACAAATAAGGAACAAAGTACTCTTGTTTTGCTTCCCTAATGTGGTCTCCACAGCTTTCTGAAGGCCTAGGGCTTTCTGCAGCACAGTAGAGACTGTATTATGCCCTACTGTACTTTTAAAAAGATTTTAGTTTCATTTTAATCATGAGAAGCAAAAAACCAGGACCAAATCCATTTTGAACAAATATAAAGCCTATGAACTGAATTTACTTTATGACCGAAATTTCACAAAGTCTTAGTGCTTTAATTGATACGCAGAATGTCTATTTTATAGCATTAAGTGTACACAAGGAGTTGCTAGAGAAATTTATTTATTTATTAAATTTATATGCCATCCATCTTATCATTGAAGCAACTCTGGGCAACTTACGAAAGAAGATGAAAGTTAAAGTATTTGTATATGGGTGGTCCTCAACTTATGACTTATAACTTACTGACCATGCAAAATATGACCGATACCTCCAGAACTATTTACAACCCTTTTTTGAAGTTAGGTGGCCACACACTTTCATAGTCTCCTGATCATATTTTGTGTACTTGGCTTCTGGCTCATCTTTATGGCCACTGCAACATCCCACAGTCACATGATTGTAATATGCAATGTTTTTTGCCAGTTTCTAGTATTTACTTCAAATTTTTGGCAAAAAAACAAACAAACACCCATTGGAGAAAATGGATTTGCTTAATGACTGCAGCATTAGCTTAATAACCATGTCATTTGCTTTTCAACCACTGCAAAAAATGTTGAAAAATTAGGTCCATTCATGTAATTATATGACTTATAATTCCAGGCTCAATTAAAATTGTAAGTCAAGGTCTATCTTTAGAGAAATTTCACATAAAGAACAAGAAAATCCTCTGTAAAACTTCATCTATAATAAATCAAAATAATAAAATTTTAGAATGCTAGGCCATACTTGCTGATTGAAACAGAATTAGGTCTTTTATGCAAGGAAAGAATATATTATATCTGTATTAGAAATAGTGCTTTGATAGATCAATGGCAAGAGAAATATCTCTTGGTGTGGAAAAGATGGATAAACTTTATACAGTATAAGTATGATATTAAAAGATATTATATAGCTTTTGAATAATTTATGTTGTTTAAGATAATAAGTATTTTTATTATATATATATATATATATATATATATATATATATATATATATATATATATATATATATATATATTGGACTTAAAGTACTTAAAAATTTGTTTTTTTAAAATGTAATATTTATTTGAGGTTTATTTAAGTTTAAATGTTTTGTATTTTTTAGTTTTAGTTAACCCTGTATTCAGCTCTGGGAAGACGGGGGGAGGGTTTCTGGGAGGGTACGGAGGCAGTGGGAGAGGGATTTTATTGTAAAATTGCAAAAAAATTTAATTAAAAAAAAAAAGAAATAGTGCTTTGTGAGATGATAAACAAAAAGTAAATTTACAATTGATAGAATCAATTTACAATTTACAAACCACAGATTATATTTGAAGTACATGGTAATAAAATATACTCTCTGGCACATACATTCTTTTTTTTTTAACCTTAGAAAATGTATGTTTCAATTTTTATAATTAATACCGAGGGAAAGAGTTGTGTAAAGTAGCAGATACAATTATTTAAAAATGAGAAAGGAAACAATTCTCTTTTTGAGACAGAATAAAAGAAATAAAAGTTTGAATTATATAAAGCCAGGTGTTTAAAAACTCAGTAAAAGAATACAAATATCTCAAGATAATTGCAGCATTCCTATGATCTGTTATCAGGGCGAATGATTGTGGGGGTACTGCAGCCACTCTAAATTCGAAATAGAATTGTACATTTGTGAATCTGTTGTAACTTTGAATGGCCATTAAATGACTGATTGTATCTTGAGAACTGCCTGTAATCTTAATTAATACTGCAGCACATGACATACCTTATAAAAAGTACATATAGTATAGGACATAAAAAGTAAATGGAGAAGAGCTGAAGAATTGGAATGATCTCAAAAAATCCTGCTATTCAGAATACTTCCTTTCCCTACTAAGCTCTGACATACTTGTATGACTCAGAAGAAGCTGTAGAAAAAGAAGTTAAACCTGTGAGTCCACAAAGGTGTGGCAGGGATTACAGTAGCAGTTTGATAATGAGGAAGGAAAGCATATCCAAGAGTTAAACAGCCACTTTGGTGTAGTGATTAAGGCATCGGGGCTAGAAACCAGGAGACCATGAGGTCTAGTCCCTGCTTAAACATGATAGCCAATTGGGCAACTTTGGGCCAGTCACTCTCTTTCAGCCCAATTCATCTCAAAAGTTTGTTGTTGTGGGTAAAATAAGAAGAGGAAGGAGTATTAGGTATGTTTGCTGTCTTGAAATATTTATAAAAGCAATAAAATGGGATATAAATAAATAAATAATGTTGGACACAGCTCATGGATCCATTGTTACTATCTGCTTAAATGAAAACCTATATATATATATATATAAGCAAATAAAGCCAAGCAGGCTTCATTTGAAGCAGGAACAAGGAAAAATATTTTGTGTAAGGCATATGTGACTATTCTTACCTCTTCCCTGATATGCTCTACTTGTTCTTCAAGAAGTTCATTTCTCTCAGTAAGAGTTTTATTCTTCTTTAGCAATGACTGGCCAATTCGAGCAGCTAATTCTAAATCCCGTTCTTTCTGTTGAAGGGAGGGAAGGAAGGAAGAAAGGAAGGAAATCCGAGTTATGGCTCACAGAACAAATGGCCATCATTGGAAAGTACAAAAAGGTGACTCTGTGTTCTAAAGAAAAACTAGAAAATCAGTTTTGCTTTGCTTGTCTATTTTTGAAACAGGCCTGTAATTTCTCTTTCTTTAATTTTGTGTTCTGCTGGAGAAACCCATTTAATTTGAGGAATATAATTTATACCATTGAGAAAAATGATCCAAAGATCCAGATTTCTGTGTGGCAAATGGATGTTCACAAATTCTTAAATACCGCTGCATTTATAGAAGATTTAATAAAATTATGTATTTTTTGTTAGTATTCAAAGTATAAAACCTACATTTTGTATTCAATACCTGCCTATGACAAAAGGCAAAGTAATATCTCAGCACTGAAAAGGGACATGAAGTTAAACAACAGAGATTAAGTCCTTATTAATCCAAAAAGTCTTTTTGTTTGTAGTGCAGGTGGTGCAATGGCTATGTTCAAGCAATAGTAAAAGCCATATGTCACAATATGTCTTATATCAAGAGTTACAAGGAAAATTAGTGAATTGGAAGAATTGCGGAAGAATATAGGTGTTTCAGTAGCTTTAGAGCAGGGGTGTCAAACTTGCAACGTCATGTGATATATTGCAATGTATCACAACTTTTTTTCTATTGCCGGCAATGGGGTAGGCATGGTTTTGTCATGACACATCTGGCCCGCGGATCGGCAGTTTGACACCCCTGCTTTAGAGAATCAATGTTTCTGGTAAATATTTGCCATTTAAGAAGTTGTCTTTGTTTTATATTTATAGCACACTGTATTACATATGAGAACCAGTTTGGTCTAGCAGTTAAGGCACCAAACTAGAAAGCAGGTGATGGTGAGTTCTAGTCTGCCTTAATCATGAAAACCAGCTGGGAGACTTTGGGTCAGTCACTGTCTCGCAGCCCAAGTCACCCCACAGGGTTTTGTTTGGGGAAGAAAGGATGTTGGATAAGTTCATCACCTTGAGTTATTTTTAAAAATAATCAAGGCAGGATACAAATAAATAAATATATTTGAACATATATTTGAGGCAGTTATTTTCAATGATATTATAGGAACCACAAATATTTCCGGTAAAGTTTCTAATAAATGAGCTTCTGGATGGTTATGCAAAAAGATATAGTAACATTTCTGACATAGCAACATGAGAAACTGTTCTTTTCATTCAAGGGATATTCCCAATAATTCAAACATGCTGGAATTTGTTTTTTTTTTTTTTAAATTAAGAAACCACCAAAGCTTGGGACCCTGAATAAACTTAGTAGACAAGGACTGGCAACATAATTTTATCTGTGTGATGCCCTTGGTCTTTGACTGGTATGCTGGAGCCTATATTCCAAAAACTAGAAAAGGTTAGGGTAAAAAAATGAACAGGACCAGAACAAAGACTAAATTTGATTTAATTTGCACATAATAAAAATTAATTTAAAGTAAATTTATACGTTTGCTATATAGAATTAATCATCATCATCATCATCATCATCTAGCGCGGACCTTGTTAACCCGGGTGACATCCAAGCCGGTATGGCATTCTGAAATTTACGTCTCACCATATTTTTTATGGGAGAGACACTCTTTGTCTGACTCCTCTGATGAGACCTGTCCAGTATGGTTGAACCTCTGGCATAGGTCTCATCTTCCTCAGAGTACACAAGCCCCACAACCACATCAAGAAAAGCAAGCAAGGGTAGTACCAATAGTGATAGGCTCCTTGGGTGCAATCCCAAAACAACTGGAGCACCACTTGAACACCATTGGCATTGACAAATTCGCTATTAGTAAATTGCAAAAGGCGGCCTTACTAGGAACTGCTTCCATCCTGCGACGATATCTGTAATACCATCAAACATCCACATCTGCCTATCCCAGGTCCTGGGTAAGGACTTGATAGGTAGATAAAATGCCAAATCCAGTCTGAACATCTGGCTGACTGTGCGATGATCCATAATAATAATAATAAATAATAAAAAGAACAAGGAAAATCAAAAATTGGTCAGCACCAGGTGAAGATGAACTGCATGGGTTTTGGTTGAAACATCTAACTGTTATACACCCACTCATTGTCAAGCAGTTCAACAATATACTACAAGGAGGAGAAATTGAAAAGTGGCTAACAACTGGGAAAACCTACCTAATAATGAAAAATCCAGCAAAAGGGGCAACACCAGGCAACTGTAGGCCAATTACCTGCTTACCAACAACTTTCAAATTATTAATTGGTGTGGTAGCTGATGCAGTGCAACAGCATCTAGTTGAAAACAGGACCAAGCCTTAAGGACAAACGCATATAAAGTCAAAATTGAGAAGACAGCAACAGACAGTAAGTGCCGCCTATGCAAAAAAGCTGAAGAAACAGTGGACCACTTGGTAAGCTGTTGGAAGAAGATTGCACAGACTGACTACAAGCAGCGGCATGACAAAGTAGCAACGATGGTGCATTGGAAGATCTGCCAAAAATATCATTTGCATGTAAGCAAAAACTGGTGGGATCATAAAATAGAGAAAGTCATAGAAAATGATAAAATTAAACTGCTCTGGGACTTCAGAATTCAAACAGACAAGCACCTGCAACATAACACCCCAGACTTAACAATTGTCGATAAGAAAGACAAAAAAGTCTGGGTAGTGGACGTGGCAGTGCCTGGAGATAGCAGAATAGAAGAGAAAGAACTGGAGAAGATAACAAAATACAAGGACCTACAAATAGAAATAGAAAGACTGTGGCAAAAGCAAGCAAGGGTAGTACCAATAGTCATAGGCTCCTTGGGTGCAATCCCAAAACAACTGGAGCACTACTTGAATACCATTGGCATTGACAAATTCGCTATTAGTCAATTGCAAAAGGCGGCCTTACTAGGAACTGCTTCCATCCTGTGACGATATCTGTAATACCATCAAACATCCACATCTGCCTATCCCAGGTCCTAGGTAAGGACTCGATAGGTAGACAAAATGCCAAATCCAGTCTGAACATCTGGCTGACTGTGCGATGATCCATAATAATAATAATAATAATAATAATAATAATAATAATAATAATAATAAAGTTGGAAGGGACCTTGGAGGTCATCAAGTCCAACCCCCTGCTCAGGCAGGTAACCCTATCCCATTTCGGACAAATGGCTGTCCAGTTTCTTCTTAAAAACTTCCAGTGTTGGAGCATTCACCGCTTCTGGAGGCAGGTTGTTCCACTGGTTAATTGTTCTAACTGTCAGGAAGTTTCTCCTTAGTTCTAGGTTGCTTCTCTCTTTGATTAGTTTCCATCCGTTGCTTCTTGTCCTGCCTTCAGGTGCTTTGAAAAATTTGACTGATTAGAACTGATCTTAAAAGTGAAGCAGGTTCAAGCTTGCCCCAACTCTGCCCACTTAGCAGTTCAAAAGCATGCAAATGCGAATAGATAAATAGTTACCATTTTGGTGGGAAGGTAACAGAGTTCTGTGCATCTCAGTGTGTAGTCATGCTAAACACATGACCACGGAAATGTCTTTGGACAACACTGGCTACCTAATCTAAGAAACGGAGATGAGCACCGGCCTAGAGTCAGAAATGACCAGAGAGGAGAAACCTTTACCTTTTCAATAATTGGTGGGAGTTTTATAGGGAATACGAGGACGTGTAGGCTAATTAGGAAATTGAAAAAACATCTCAGAAGATGGTGATGGAAAACTTCAAATAGAAAAAAAAATTAGATGGACATATCCATCAACAGATATTGTAAGCAATTTTATGTGAACTGAAAGAGACTTTATGTAAGTTGAAAGAAGCTTTATTTTGCTTTAATATAATTTACTTTCTTATAATCTACAAGGTACAATCATGGGTGTGGTCCTCTCACTTTCAAGAGATACTGATGGCTTGGAGTCCAACAACTAATACTTAATTGAGCTAAGGCAATGTTCTTTCAATAATGCATTTGAGCACAAACAAAGCATTGGTTCCAATGTAACAATCATAATGTTGATTTTCTCAGTAGAGATAAAAGGTGCCGGTTGGACCTTTACCATAGTAAAAAAAAAAAGGGCAGCTGATCATCTTGGCACAAATTTCTAGCAGAAATCTGATAACTGTGATTTAGATTGGTTTCTAGTTTCCTACTTTGACCTCTATCAAGAAGCAATTAAATCTTAAGGCTCTGAGCCTAAGTCAGTACTATGCTCAGAAAGATCAAAACATACTTTTAATCTTATGACAGCTTTTTTAAAAATAAGAAACAGCTATGAATTTAAGTTATGAACAGAAGCTGTGGCTTTACATCTTCTAATTGAGTTTTCTGAATTCTAGCAATAGTTACTTGCAGCTGTTCATTGTTTATATATTTTAAGGAAACCCTGTAATCAAAAGAGTCCCAGTAATATTATGCCTTATAGACATCACCAGACTAATAAATTATACTGAACCGAAATAGAATTGAATAAATAAATAGCATGTTGGGAATTAAGCAATGAGCAGTTTTCCAGTAATACTTCTACAAGGGGCTAAATTAAAGAAGCATCAAATATGTGGTGATTATTTCAATATCCTACATATCTCATGAAGCCTGAAAAGACTCAAACATTGACTGCTGTGTTACAACCATGTTACCATACCATATGAATATAAGATACTTACTTCCTCAAGAAGACGTGTAACAGCATCAATGTCATTGTATGTTTTAGTCATCTGGCCCACTCGTTCAGCACATAAAACTGAAATAAAACAGGTAATGTTTTATCTACTATACAAAAATAAATTTAAATCTAATATACCAAAAAGACAAAATTATTTTTTCAAATAATCAATTCTGTATGAGTTCATTCACATATAAATCATGTTAAATTGTGGAGTGTGCTGCACTTAGCCTAATATTATATTCGATGGAGCATTTTAGACAGCACTTTATGTTCCCAGTAATTCCGAGAATTCTAACAATATTTCAAAATCTTGAAATCAATATCTCATTTCTTCAGTACTTTTCTATTGCCTTACTAAAATATTGGGGCAAGGTGCACGTACCAATTCTCAAACTGTGCTTTGATATGCCTCAGGCCACCATAATGATGAACTCACTAACAGTTTCATTGAATAGCAAAATATTACATGGCATACCATTGAGTTCAATGTTGCACATAATTTAGGACCTGCAGTTTTAGAAACAGATGGCCAATATTCCAGAGAGAACTTTCACTAAGACCAGTTTCTATATTCCTCAACAATTTGATCCAATAAAGGTTTGTTTTTATTCTATTTCTTATCAGTATAATGGAAAAAGCAAAAGAAGTGTTTTCATATTTCAAACAGTACGTGTAATACATGTATGTTTTTAACATTTAATTTATGTTATTATCTCCATCATGTTGAGTTCCAGAACAAACATATGTGAAATTAATTCGTATCTTTAAAATTGTCACTGTTTGCTACATAGACCTCAGTTTGTACTGGATTAAACACCACTTTGTTATCAGTAAAGCATCATTAAAGGATGCTGAATTTACAGCATCTGAAGATTTACAAAATCTCTATATAAACAAGAAACAAAAGCATATGTGATGTCCATGTTTATCTTTAATTTTCACCAATGAAACTGGTCCTAGGATAGACATATTATTAAAACTGAGAGTATCTGCCTATCCTACCAGACTGGACATCAAGCCAATCGATGGTTGTTGGGCATCCTAAGAAAATGAATGAGGAACTAGGTTTTTAATTTTTGTTTTGTAATTTTATTGCCATTGTGAGCCACACAGAATTATGCTCTAAGATAGGTGGCCTGGCAAATATTTTCAATAAATATAGAAACAATTAAAGAAAGTGGCTTTGTCAGTAAGTACTAAAGGCACATTGTTGCTTCCTTTTATTTCTCTATCTCAGTGTAAAAGACCTTTGTTGCATATTGATACTTAATCTTACATATAAATATTCTAAAAGCATTTTTTCTGAATTCATAAAAAACTTAACAAAACATACCATGTCTTATATCTTTTCTTACCTTTGACCTTTCAGTGCCTGTGGGAGTTATGCCAGCAGTGTACTTAATTGTTTGGATTGCCGTTATGAAATATTGCAATTTTGTTCCTTTTTGAGATTTATAATAGAATTACATGTTTGTTTCAGAAGAGATTGTTGATAATTAACATAAATGCAATTTTTCAGATTCAATGAAATCTGGAAAATTCAGCCAAGAAAGCATAGTCCCAAGTGTATTAAGGAAATAACTAGGTTGGAAAACTTGTATTTACATTAATGTGTCCTTCGTTAGACAACTTTTGTTTTTGAAAGTAACACTTTCAATGTCCTTTTTTAAAAATACAATTTCTTTCTATTATTGTCAGAAGAAGGACATATTATAGCCTTTGAAAATATTTATGAAATGCCTTGACCCTATGATTCTGTGCATTCCAATGATTCTGTGCATTCCAGGGCTGATAGTAAAACCCAGTGAACATTTTTTTTCCTGCATACACACATCCAAATGAACAACAACAGCAACAAAAAAACTTAGGGAAAATTTCAAAAAGTATTTCGATCAGTAATTATACTATGAATGAAGTTTTTCAATGCTCAGCAAATCATAGCTTTAATAAGTTTTCCCCAAAATGATAATGTATTCAATTGCAAAAAAAATGTTTCAGCCAAATGGATGGGCTATAGAACTACATCTGCGGAGCACTGAGCTGGGGAAAGGTTCTTTAGGATTTCTAGATAAGCAAACCATAATATAATTGGTAAAGTAGCAGATTGATCATAAACATCATGACATGGTTCATGATCTACATACACAATACATTATAGTGATGTCACATTGTACAGACATAAAGAAATGGACTTAAAAATATGCAGAAACCATTTCCTAAGCAAAGACTATTGAAACATTTTAAAGTCTAGAACAATAACATTCAGAAGCAATTCAGACAGATGCTTCCCAAATTCTCTAATGTTTAAGGAAAAGGAGGAGGTACAGAACAATCAAACTTGCAAAATTCTGCTATTATAGCCAAACACAATAAAATTGTTTTAGTCTTCCTACAGAATTGATTTGGTGATCTGGTCTGCCTAGATCAACTAACACATTAGAAGTCCTAAAGATTACAGGTAGTCCTCGAGTTATGAATGTAATGGAGCCTGCCCATTCCATTCATAACTCAAAAATTTGTGGGAGTTAATCTCGTACCTCGAACAAGATCACTCCCTGATCGTTAAGACGTACATGGCTCATTAAGTGCACATGAGGTATCTCAGGGTGAGGCAGGCCTGGATCCGACCTCCAGAGGCATGCAGAAGCTTTCCCTGACCTCCCTTCAGGGCGCAAATGGCTTGGAAGATTCCTCCAAGGCCTGGATCTGATCTTCAGAGGCTCCGTTCCGGGGTAGCAGCAGCTTGGAGCAGTCCCCTGAGGCCTGGATCCAACCTCCAGAGGCCTGCAGAAGCCTCCCCCGATCTCCATTCCAGGTGCAAACGGCTTGGAGCAGTCCTCCGAGGACTGGATCTGACCTCCGAAGGTAAGCGGAAGCCTTCTCCAGCCTCCGTTCTAGGTGACTTGGAGGAGGGCTCTGGGGTCAACGGGTCACTTTCTCCCCCGGCATGGTGAGCTCTAGCGGGCTGGATCCAGGTGCGAGGAACTGGCCTTTTCCCTTAGTTGAAGGCTTCAGGCCTGCCCTCAGGCAGAAAGGAATTGGGAGCAGGAGCAGGCATTGCAAACTCCTTTTGCATAGAGAATTAAAGTTTCTGAGGTCTGTGATTTGGCGCAACTTCAAACACTTGCACTTGCGTGAGATGGGGCGTTGTCTTACCTGAACGCCTTTTCTCAGCAGGATGATGTAGAATCCACTTGACTGGGTTCATGACAGCCTTCCCGCCCGACAGACTAGGTCAAAACTTTGGCCATACCCCTCCTCTGGGCGTGACTCCAGTTTTGACTGAGACGAGAGTTGCTTGTTGAATTCTATGTAGTAGCTCCTTGTTAGTCACCTGCCTAGACCATCTGTATGGGGGGGTGTGGATTCTACATCATCCTGCTGAGAAAAGGCGTTCAGGTAAGACAACGCCCCTTCTCCAGCAGGATGGCTATAGAATCCACTTGATTGGGACATACCAAAGCCCTCATGTCCCCCTGGGAGGGAGTGTCTAGGCCACTGGGTCCTGAGCAGAGACAACCCGTTGTAGCACCCTTCGACCAAAGGCAGCATCCGCCGTTGCAAAGGAGTCCACACGGTAGTGTTTGACAAACACCGAAGGAGAAGACCAAGTTGCGGCCCTACAAATTTCTTCTACCGAGGCTTGTGTAGACCACACGTCCGATGTGGCAGCGCTGCGTGTTGAGTGAGCTGTCACATGTGGGGGAACGGGAATTGACTGAGAGGCATAGGCTTGGGCTATGCAAGCTCTAATCCACCTACCTATAGTTGAAGATGAAACTTTCTTCCCCATAGTCGATGTTTGGAAGGAAACAAATAGTGCTTCCGATTTATGGAAAGAAGAAGTACGTTTTACGTAGTAACACAGAGCTCTACGCACGTCTAGTTTGTGCCATCGATGTTCTAGCCTGTGTGTGGGGTTTGGACAGAAATTGGGAAGAATTAGTTCTTGAGATCTGTGGAAGATGGTGTTTATCTTTGGGATGAACACAGGGTCTGGTCTAAGGACCACCTTGTCCTTGAAGAAGGTGCATAGATCTTTTCTGACTGATAATGCTGCTAATTCTGAGATCCTTCTAGCTGAAATAATAGCAACTAGAAAGGTTACTTTTAAGGATAAGTGGTGGAGAGAGCATGAATTGAGAGGCTCAAATGGGGTTGATGTCAAGGCTTGAAGAACCTTAGTCAAATCCCAAGAAGGGTACTGATGTACCACGGGTGGTCTGATATTGACTGCTCCCTTTAGAAAGGCGGTAATTGCCGGATGTTGGGACAAGGAACTTGAATTGTCACAGGAAAGTACCGTTGAGAGGGCCGCTAACTGTCTATGAATGGTGCTGGATGACAGGCCTTTATTTAATCCATCTAACAAGTAATCTAAGATATTCGGGATAGTAACCGAGAGTGGATCCAAGTGATGTATTGAACACCACCTGCAGAAACCCTTCCATGTAGCATCATAGATCCTGTTTGTCGAAGGACGCCTTGATGCTTGAATGATCGATATCACCCCGGGTGAGTAGGATTGTCTGGCTAAAGTTTGCCGCTCAAGTGCCAAGAGGCTAGTTGTAGCCACTGAGGGTCTGGATGTAAAAGTTTGCCCTGACTGAGGATCACTCGGTCTGGGGGAATCCTCCACGGGGGTGATATCGAGAGATCCACAAGGTCGGCAAACCACGGACATTGTGGCCAATGTGGAGCAATCAAGACTACTTCTGCACCTTCCAGGAACAACTTGCGTATGGTTGCCGGTATCAATGGGAGTGATGGAAAGGTGTACAGGAGTTGCGCCAGCCTCCGACATCGGAGAGTGTCCGTTCCCTCCGTTCCCGGTATCGGGAATCTGAAAAAGAACCTGGGTAGTTGTGTGTTCCTCGGGGTGGCAAATAGGTCCAGGTGCGGTCGACTGAACCTCCGTGAGATCTCCTCGAACAGAGCCGGATCCAGGCGCCATTCCGCATGGTCCACTTTGGCTCTGCTCAGGGAGTCCGCCTGGAGATTTGCCTCCCCTGAAATGTGTTCCGCCTTGATAGAACCCAAATTTGCTTCTGCCCACCGAGCTAGGGCTGTTGCTT